TACTGTATATATATATATATATATATATATATATATATATGTATGTATATATGTACATATATACATATATATATGTATGTATATATGTACATATATACATATATATATATATATATATATATATATATATACAGTAGATTTCGTTCGCATGAGAAATCTACTGAATCACCTCCGTGTTTGTTAAAGCAGGGGTCTTTTTGAAAAATTGGCGACGACGAAAAATAAAACGGCACTCACGAATCTCGAGCTGGGGATTGTTAAAGCAGGGGGTTTTTTGAATATATAGCGACGACTAAATCTAACATATATATATACATATATGTATATATATATGTACATATATGTACATATATATGTACATATATGTATATATATATGTACATATATACATATATATATATGTATATATATATGTACATATATATATATACAGCACATTTCTCATACGGATTAATTCGTACGCATTGAGGCGATTTTGGGTTTTTTCGCAAAAAATCCCCGCTGATTGAGGCGATCTCGTTACCGCTTTGGGGTATTAAAGGACTGGGTTTTTTTGCAAAATATCACCGATTAAATCTCCTCAATCAGCCCAAAATCTTTCTTTCTCTCTCCCCACGAGATCCCCAATCCCTCCTCAGATCTTCAATCGGACCTCCCCCTCCATCTCCTACGCGACATCCACAACGACGACGATCTCCCAAATCGGACCAATTTCAAACCGTAGCTTCCAGATCCGCCTTCCCCAACTCCCTCGAGCTCGATCTCAAGTTGCCCCAACTCAGGTTTTCCATTTCTCAGCTCAACCAAACTTATTAATTGAATTTTTTTTTTTTACCTATTTCCGACAAATAGTGGTCCAGTCGTGTGAGCAACGCCCCCCACAAATAGTTTCAGGAAATTATTTAAGCCATAATATTCTTTTAAGCCATATAGAATAGAGACACATCGGTGCAATATAGCCTTTACAGGCAAAGCTAATCCATAAGTTATATATATATATATGTATTTTTTTTTACTTTTTCTTTTTTCTTATTCTTTTTATGTTTCTCAGTTTTTGTAAATTTTTTATTTTGAGAAGAGGGTTATTCACTATGCCTACCCTTGACAACCAAGAGCCCATGTGTGCTTAGATGGCCTCAGTTGCTTTAATTAGATGTGATCGAGGTTAGTGGTTTTAGAGCACAATGGAATTCTCTTATGAAAATTCCGATTCATTTACATCTATTTCGGGTTTTTCTTTCAAGAAATTTATATGCAATGTCAGATACAAGTTTTGACAGCACGATGGTTTTTATTTTTTCTGTCAATAGAAAGAAAATATGGCAAAAAAAAAAAATCTTATGAAAATTCCGCCTAATCTTAATCATGGCTAATATGCTGCTTTATAAATGGTTATGATTAGCTGTATATAAACAAATATCACAGAAGACTTAATCCTAGGTTTGATTCTTTAAGACTCTGATAACCATCAAGCCCCAACTCACATTTATATGGTTCTGGGGGGTTTTCATTTTTATGTGATCAGAAAAGAACTAGGTACTAATGTCGAAAATTAAGTCTTTTCCCCCATATTATTTTCTATTTCAGATTGCCTCCATTTTTTAATAGATCAATTACAATTTTTGTGAGAAATGGAAAACTTGGGCACTGAAGCTAATAAAGTAAACTTGGACGACGATGATTTGATATATACTCCTCAAGTATCAGATGAGTTGAGGCCAAAAAAGGGGCAAGAATTTGACACAATAGATGATGTTGTGACATTCTACAATGCTTATGCTAAAGCAGCTGGGTTTAGTGTAAGGTCTTGGACTACTCAGAAAGAGCCGAAAAATACATTGTTACCTTCTGTTTCAGATTTATTACATGAAATATCCATATTTCCTTCTAACTCTACAAATTAGATTACATCTGATGTATACTTGTTGCATGCCCCTTGCAGGTACTGTATTCAAGAAGATCAAGTAGACTAATTATCTACTTGGTTCCCTGTGGCTTTTGCTTTGCTCCTTTTGTTGGGAGTTTAATATGGCCTGAACTATAATGACAGAACTTGAAGGCTGCTGTGGTTGCCCTCTTACTTTTGTTTTGTTTAGGGCGAAATAGATTATGCTTTATGCATATATTTCCCTTTATCGCCCATTATATATGTATCTCTTTCATGTGTACTGATGTATGAATATTCTTTACGCATATATATTCCTTCTTCAGATTTCTTTCTAACAATAGCACCAACATGGTTTCTTTATCGCCCTTATTATGTTTTTTTGTTGAATAAACTGCTCTGGTCAGTGTTATTTCTGTTTGCTGCTAATTGGGTGTTTTCAGCTTCTGGAAATTGGTTCATGGGTACACAGAGAAGTATGTATGGATGTTTACTTTTGATGCCATGAGCTTGCTGGTTGTATGTGTGGAAATTGTTTCATTTTTTTGGGAGAGAGCATGGTTTTTTATTGGACTAGCAATGTTGAAACAGACCAAACTCATCGGTCAGGATACGTTTAAAATTGCTTACATAAACTGGCAGATGAACTGGGTGATGAGCACAATCAGATTTTGGTCAGAATGCTGAGGAAGAGTCATTCCAGTTTACATCCGTCTGTTGTGAAATGTATTTTTTCTACCACCCTATCAGGTTTGCATTTCGATGTTTGCAATGTGCAAATAAGTTTAAGTAAGATTAACGGGGAGACCATAGGAGGCCAGCTTGCTTATGGAAACAGCAAACACCGATAAGAGCGTAGATAGTTAATTTGGTGAGTACCAAGAGGGCTAAGACAATATTATGAAATATTTGTATCGTACCAAGAGGCTAATACAAATACATATCATAAGCTACCATCATAATATAAATACAACACCATCATAATACATATCATAAGCTACCATCATAATACAAATACAACACCATAAATTTGTAGCTGATTAAAAATCAATTTAACATGAGCTAAACAAAAAGTTTATCCAACAAATACAAGCTCAGCCACAAATTACATCACATGTTTTTTGCAATGAAAAAACCAACAAATACCGCAACGATACATACTAGAAATACTAATATTGTAAACAACGAACCTAATACAAAAACATAGATAGAGAAAATAGAAGTTTCACCAAGTTTTTCCTTGTCCACATCCAGATTATGGCTCATTGGATATCTTTGTTCTTGAGCATAAACAGATGTTTGGACAGGCCTCGAGCTGGATGCTGAATCATGAGCGAGTGTGTGCTTCTCTCATTCAATCAAAGCCTCTTCGTATGTTGCATACCCTTTGTAGGAGGCATTTGGGAACTTATCTATCTGAGATTTGCATTCCTCCCAATTATTATAAATACCACATCGTCGACCTCTCTTCACAACATAAAAACTTTTTCGAGCCATGGATAACATGAAAATACCCCAAATTGGAGGGTAAACAAAATTTTTATCCCATAGTTGCTTTCATTTCTATTTACCAACACGATTATTACATAGGAACAACACAAGCAAGAACAACAGCTAGCCCACATTTAACACAAACATACAACTATAATTAGAGTACATGCTTCTATTACAGACTGACTTGAACATAAAAACTCAAGTTTCTCGTATTTGGAAACTCAAGTTAATTGAAATAAGTTATTTTGGAAAATGAAGTTCAATTAATAAGTTTGATTGAGCACAATGGTATACCTTCTTTATCAGTTTATATAACAAATTCAAATAAGTTAGAAATAAGTTTGATTGTGCTCTCACTGAATTCTTTATCTAGACAGGAATTTGTTATATACCTTCTTTATCAGTTTATTCATCTTGGGCCAAAAAATTTGACTACAATTTTTTGCCATTTTGGTTCTTTCTGTTCACAGATAATTCATACATTATATATGCTGAATTGAATAAAAAAATGATACTGCAAGGATGAATGTCCTTCGTTACTCTTTTTTTCTTCCCTGCCTATATCTGTTTAGTTGTTAATATGCTAAAATCGGAATTTTCATAAGAGAAGGCAAAACCTGAATATATTGTAAGACATCGAAAGTAACAAGAAACTTTTGACCTTTTGGTTCATTCTATTAAAGTCCGATCTTTGGCATAAAATTTCCTGAAACTATTTGTGGGGGGCGTTGCTCACACGACTGGACCACTATTTGTCGGAAATAGGTAAAAAAAAAAAATTCAATTAATAAGTTTGGTTGAGCTGAGAAATGGAAAACCTGAGTTGGGGCAACTTGAGATCGAGCTCGAGGGAGTTGGGGAAGGCGGATCTGGAAGCTACGGTTTGAAATTGGTCCGATTTGGGAGATCGTCGTCGTTGTGGATGTCGCGTAGGAGATGGAGGGGGAGGTCCGATTGAAGATCTGAGGAGGGATTGGGGATCTCGTGGGGAGAGAGAAAGAAAGATTTTGGGCTGATTGAGGAGATTTAATCGGTGATATTTTGCAAAAAAACCCAGTCCTTTAATACCCCAAAGCGGTAACGAGATCGCCTCAATCAGCGGGGATTTTTTGCGAAAAAACCCAAAATCGCCTCAATGCGTACGAATTAATCCGTATGAGAAATGTGCTGTATATATATATATGTACATATATATATACATATATATATATGTATATATGTACATATATATATACATATATGTACATATATATGTACATATATGTACATATATATATACATATATGTATATATATATGTTATACATATATATCTAATATCTATAATTATATAGATATGTACTATATATATATATATAATATACTATATCATCTATTATACTACTATACTATATATACTATATATATAACATATATATATATATACTACATACTATAATATATATATATACTATATAGATATGTATCTATATATATATATATACTACTTGTATATATATATTATATATATACTATATATATACCATATATATATCATAGTATATAATGCATATATATAATATATATATATATATTATACATATATATTAGTACTATATATAATATACATATATATATATATATACATATAATATATATACTATATATATAATCATATATATAATATATACTATATATACTATATATTATATATTATATATATAATATATATATATTATATCTATATATATATAATATATCAATAGCTCTAATATAACTATATAACACATATATATAATATATACACATTATATACATATATACCATATATATACATATTATACACATATATATACATATATAACCATATACTATATATATATTACTAATATTTATATATAATATATTATATATAATATATATATATTTATATTATATATATATATATATCAATATTATATATATATATATCTATATTATCTTATATTATATAATATATACATATACATATATATACAGCATATTATATATACTATACCATATATATACATATATATCCATATATATACATATATATATACTATAATATACATATATCACTAGCCATTATATACACATATCATATAATATATATACATTATATATACATATATATATCATATATATACATACATACTATATATTATGTATATATATAATATATATACTATATATATATATATATATATACTATATACTATATATAATCACATATATATACTCTATCATACTATATAGTATATATATATAAGTATATATATATATAGTATAGTATTATATATATATATAGCTATATATAATTAGGTATATATATATATTATACTATATGTATATATATATATGTATACTATGTATATATATATATATACATATATAATATATAACAATATATACATATATATATCACATATCATAGCATTTAATATATATAGATATATATAATATATATGCTATTCATACACTTATATATATATATGTATAATATATATATATCATATATATATATTATTTTACTATATATATAATATATATACTATATATATATATAATATAATATACTATACACACACATATGTTGATACAGTGTACTCTTCACTTCGGGGTAGCTTACGCGAATCTGCCATGGGAGCTTGACGGATCAGGTGATTCTCATTGTCTATCTTGGAATCAGTGTCGAGGAGTCGTGAGCCGAGTTGTTGGACAGCAGCGAAGTCGACCGGATTTCGCAACAGCTGCCGTCGAGAAAAACAGTTTTACAGTTTCATCGGTCTGAAGCCGGCTGAGTGTCACGGCAGGTCTGACCTCGACGTGCACTAGCTCGAGGATTAGGTTGAACTTGAAGTCACGTCCGACCGCCGATGGGTGTGACGGTCGCCGCAGCAAACCCTGTGACCCAGACTGCACTCTGTCGTTGGTTAGCGTCGCCGCGACTGGGCTTCCGGTGGGGGGGTCGACGTCCAAAACGCCTGTTAAGCCTTATTTAAGTCTCCGGTGGTTTGCCGGGTCGACCGCCGCCGGGCTCTTTTATGCGTCGACGGTGACTCGGGTTTTTGGGGGCGCTGGGCCTGGTTTTGCCTGCACTGTTCAGCGATTTTTATTCTTGTATAAATAGAAACACGACTTTCTCTAGAAGAAAAAGATTAAGCATTACTCAGATTGTAATCAGAAAAGAGATCACGGGAGGTTGTTTCTTCTTGATCTAGGACAAGTTGTGAGAGAAGAGAATTGTTAATCAATTGATTCTCATAATCTGAGAAGGTCATTTTCCTGTCGGCACCAAATTATTATACTTGTGTCTTCTGTCGTTTTGCTTCTCACCCACTCTTGATAATTCCGCGCGATCAAAAAAGAGTGCTCAGCTCGGCGCGACGTCGTACCAAGTTGGTATCATAAGCCCCTAGAATGCCTATGGAGGGGGAAACCTGTGTATGCGTCCTTTAGCTCGCTCATCGTCAAGACGCTTGGGCGAGATCCTTATTCTCGATTGGACCAGGAGTCTAGAAATTATAGGAAGGAGAAGATGACTAAAGGCAGCAATAATCTCAGCAAGACTTGATGGCCATGGAAAAGCAGAATCGAGAGCGATCGCCGACGACTCTCACGTCACTCGTGGGTCTCTGCAACGGAGTAGGCAAAAAGGAAGGACTCTTCCTTTGAAGGTAAGAGAAACTCATCGAACCGGAGCGAAGAGACGGAGAAATCTGATTCACGTGGGGAGACTTGAGATTGTCAAGACTCGTTGGACCATCAAGCGGGGTATAGAATAATTATTAGAATGGTGAAGATTGACTTAGGTTGAGATTCCTGTTTATGATGAGA